CATAATTTAAGAAAGTGACAGTATAACAATAGTACTGAATTATTCTCTGGGTGATTTCAAATTTACTAATTAATTCTATTATTAATGACTTTTTTAAAAAAATAAGAAACAAGGTCTCATTATGTTGCCCAGGCTGGTTTTGAATTCCTGGACTGTCCTGCCTAAGCCTCTCAAAGTGTTGGAATTACAGGCATGAGCTACTGCGCCTGACCTATTAATGATATTTTTTTAAAGTTTTCTTCTAATTTTTAAACAAGATTTTTAATTAAAAAAGCAATATATATACAAGGTAAAACTCCAAACACTACAGAGCGGTATATGAAACGAAAACTCCTCTTTCATCTAAAGTCTCTGTCCCGTATTCCAGAGGCAATTGCTGTTATCACTTTCTAAGATATTGTTCAAAAATTTTCTAGCCATTTAAAAGCCTATATACGTAAATATATTGTTCTCTATCTTTTCATTTCTCTTATTTTTCTTTTCTTTTGATTTTTTAGTCATATCATGTGCTTGACTCCCCTGTCTTTTGACCAATATGTTCCCATTCTGCCTTTTAATTTTTTTTTCTTTTCTGTTTCCATATGCTTTCTCCAATATAGGATTTCTCAGCCTTTTCACAATTGGCATTTTTGGCTGGATAATCCTTTGTTGTGGAGGAGCTCTCCTGGGCATTGCAGATGTTAGGAAGAATCCCTGGCCTCTTTGCCCAGATCCAAAATCTGGGCAAAGAAAAATCTTCTGGAAAGAATTCAGCATTCTAGATGCCAATAAAAACACTGATGTTTCATGTAAGGAGATCAAAATATCAACATTAACAGGGATCTGGAAGAAGTTGATTCTGACTTTTATGACTGATAGTTTCAAAATTTCATTGAAGGAACTAACTGTGGATGTGGTAGAAACAGCAAGAGAACTTGAATTAGAAGTGAACCCTGAAGATGTGACTAGATTGCTGCTATCTCATGATCAAATTTAAATGGACGAGGAGTTGCTTCGTAGGGACGAACAAAGAAAGTGGTTTCTTGATATGAGATCTAATCCTGGTGAAGATGCTCTGAACATTGTTGAAATGACAACGAAGTTCTTAAACTATTACAGAAACTTAGTTGATAAAGCAGTGGTAGGATTTGAGAGGACTGACTCCAATTTTGAAAGAAGTTGTACTGTGGGTAAAATGCTATCAAATAGCATTGCATGATACAGAGAAATTGTTCATGAAAAGAAGAGTACAGGGATGCAGCAAACTTCATTGTTGTCTTATTTTAAGAAATTGCCACAGTCACTCCATTCTTCAACAACCACCACCCTGGTCTATTAGAAACCATCAATATCAAGGCAAGATTCTCCACCAACAAAAAGCTTATGATTCACTGATGGCTCAGATGATCATTAGCATTTTTCAGCAATAAAGTATTTTTACATTAAGGTATGTGCCTTACTTTTTCAGACATAATGCCTTTGTACCTTTTACAGACTACGGTATAGTGTAAACATAACTTTTATATGCACTGGGAAACAAAAAATTCATGTGACTCATTTTATTGGAATATTCACTTTAGTGCAGTGGTCTGGAGCCAAACCTGTAATATACTGAGGTAAGCCCTTATATATCCTAAACACCATGAGATTCTCATTAAAGTAGAAACAAAATGCATGCAAGTAATTTTCCTAGGTATTTATGGGGGTTATGAAGAGTTATAGACATTAATCATCAAGGTTATGATGTTATTTGGAGAGAAAAAAACTAGACATATGAAAATGATACCAACCTTACAAAGCAGAGCATATGGTGCTCAAATAAATGATGAAGAGATAAATGCTACTGAATTTAGAGGAAACAAAGAGGCAAGTTTTATAATTAAAACAATAATTTTTGAATGAATGATTTATAAATTAACGTGTGTGTGCATGCCATGGGGAATGTAAGGATATATTGGTTAGGGTGGATAGCAAACTGGAGCTGCTTACACCTTGGAAATTAATAATGTAATAATCAACGAATTCCCACTGAAAGACTGGGAAGTTTGCTTTAGATCTTTTATCAGGTGATCCTGAAAACGTGAATGGGGTGGTATTTGAGAACAGCAAATCCGGGATTTTTTACTTATGTTTAAGGGAGCAAATAGTCCTTAGATCATATGTAATGTGGGGCCAAGTAAACCTCTTGTCTTCTTTCCCTCATCCTTTTTACCCTTCAGTGAACATTTACTGTGTGTCAACTGTATGTCAATTCTTTACAAGGCACCAGGAATACAACTGTGAGTAGGACACAGAGCAGGATTCAGTTCTCATGGAAGTTTCGATCAAACAAAAGCTTTCTATACATTTATATACATTACATAGAATGTAAACTTTATATATATTCTATATACTCTGCATATAGAATGTATTAATTCTCTGGAAGATTCTAGTGTTATTTCCAATCTCTAAACCATCTGTATTCATAATGCATGTTTATGGTCTATTGTCTCTGTCTCTGTAAAGGCAATTAAATATTACCTTATAAACTTTCCAGATATGTTAGAAATTATAAGCTACACTGACCACAATAATTGATTTGCCACTGCAGTGCTACTCTGTCAGGATTGAGAGGCAGCAGATATTCTATTTGTTTGAAATAACTTCCTAGATGTTTGGGTGAGACAGTGAGGAATCACTAATCAAACTGAAAGTAGAACCATGTTAAGAAAGCAGAATGTAATTATCCAGTTGGAATTTGGCTAGTATGGTAAGACAGATTCTCTCAATTCCTAAGGAAGAGAAAATGACAATGTTAAATTATGCTAAACTTCAGCCATGAATTCATTTCTGACTCAAGTACAGATACCACAATATTTTTTGAATCTCTACCAGTCCTACATTCTTGATAACCCCACTGAAGGGTTCGGAGTCCTAGGAGTTTGGATATAAGCCATGAAAACATTTACTCAGGAAAGCTCATTTCTCTTATGTGGACAGGAACATTTATATAGTAGACATTTAGAAAAGCTATATTAGTGTTTAGGGCTGTAAGCTCTCTGAACGAGGGGTAGAAGTTGTACCAAATACATTAATATCAACTCATTGCTAGAAGCTGAGTGCTGTTTAGAAAACAACATGCTCAATCCTAAATCTGGGAGGACAAAGGCTTTTTTGATCACAGACACATATTGAGAATTTCTCGAAAGCTATTAATATGACCCCCCCAAACCGTTTCTCTCTCACACACACCTTCATGTATATGTGCACATGCATTGTGTGCACACATTTATATGCAATTTTTAGGGTTGGAGGGCATCAGTTCTCTGAATTCAATCTATGGGCCCTCACACTCCAGGTTTAGAAGATGTGGTTCAGTCAGCTTGATTCTCTATGGGCTGCTGCTTCAGGCTAAGAAAACTAAATTCTCTCCTTTAACACAAAAACTGCTAAGGAATCTATCATCTCAGTGCTATTTAGAAATTTGGGTTACATAATTTGCATATAAAGAGGCCTTACACGTTGGGTTTCTTTTATCTTAATATATATCTATCTTTCTCTCATCAGAAAACAGATTGTATTTTATTTTCTCTCTTCTAAGGAAATGATAAAAATAATAATTATATAACTTATTTACTCAGTCTTAAGTTCATTGTTGCCTTTTTTTGATGGCAAATTTCTTGGGGTTAGCTACTTAAAAATACTTCCAAGAGTATTTTACAAATTATAAACACTTTAACATTGCTAATATTTCGTGATTTTTTTTTTTATTTGGAAAAAAGTAGGGTATTTGAATCAAATAATTCAACTGGATTTTTTTCTTGGGATATTTAAAATAAATTACTAGACACCCCAATGTGCCAGGTATACTTTGAAGTTACTTCTCTAAAACTAGTTTGTTTATTTATTATTATTATTATTATTAGAGACAGAGTTTCACTGTTGTTGACCAGGCTGGAGTACAACGGTGCAATCTCGGCTCACTGCCACCTATGCCTCCCGGGTTCAAGCAATTCTCCTGCCTCAGCCTCCTGAGTAGCTAGGATTACAGGCGCCCACCACCATGTGTGGCTATTTTTTTGTATTTTTAGTAGATGGCCAAGTTAGTCTCGAACTCCTGACCTCAGGTGATGCACCCACCTCGGCCTCCCAAAGTACTGGGATTACAGGCATAAGCCACCACACCCAGCCTACTGTTTTTTTTTTTTGTTTTTTGTTTTTGTTTTTAGTTAAAGAATTAGAACATGTTTATACCATCTCACTGGGTATTCTTTACTCTTTTAAAAAGGATCTTTGGTCTAGCTCTCACAGCAGACACTCATTTATCCTCCCTTCTTTCTTTCTTACATGATTTACTACAATGGGACGTATTGAGATAGTCAATCAACACATTTATTGATTATCTATTCTACAAGGCATTATGTCAGATGGGATGGGGAATCCAAAGATGTTTAAGACAGGTCTTCCGGAGAATATAATCTATTGTCAAAGATAAGAACCAGATAATATAAACTTAATGTTATGACTGTATTTATAGTTTGCTTGTAGAGGTTAAATATGTTTCATGCTAGATTTATTTGGCAAGTGGTAACTATATTTTACTCCAGAACTCCATAGTAAATAGAGGATTTAACATCATCATTTAATAAAGCTCTTATGGAATAACATTTTTAAAAATTTGTGTTTATTTCTTACCAGAGAGGGCTGTCAAATTTGCATCTTTGATGAAAATTTCAGTTATTCCAAGAGCCTTCAAAACATCTTTTAAATCAATTTCCTGTTCCACTGTGAACCTGGAGAACATATAGGAATAAAAATATTTAGTTACAGCATATTGTTACCTGGGACAAGAACAAAGTGTTAGATATGTGGATATTTAAAGTCTGCTTTACAGAGAGTAAATTATGCTAAAACTGGCTTTGGACTGCAATTAGCATTTGATTGAACATGGAAAAATAGGCATCAAAGAGATTTACATAACAAAACAGAATTTAAACATGTAAGTAGGAAAATATATGATATAGACACAAAACCATAATATATGGTACAATAAATGAGTTTTGAGATCAAGTATCATCACCATATGATTACTTAGTATCATAGTAGTGAGTAAAACTTGTAAATGAGTAGCTTTCAAAATCCTTTGACCTAGTAGTAATATATTTGATTTTTTTTAAGCTAGAGATGACTAATCATACATTTACCTCGGTTATTTCATTCTCTTCTTAGTATCCTGGTCAATTTATGTTCCTTACCCTCCACCACACTATGCAATTCCCACCCACATCAATGCCATGGACAAGGTTAAATTAGAGCCAAATGCTGTTTTACAATAAATACATTTAGCATTTCAGCTCCCTACAACTCAGAGAAAGCAAAAATAAAACGCACTACATTAAAAAATGTATCTTTATGGTTATAGTGATCTCTAAAACATAAGCCTGTTCTCATGATACCATCACAAAAAAACTATTAATCAATGGAGAGTGAGTTAAATATTGTATCTTAAAAACCATGTGCTTTTACACTGAATAATTTTTTATTTTTTTTACTTTAAGTTCTGAGATACATGTGCAAAACATACAGGTTTGTTACATAGGTATACATGTGCCATGGTGGTTTGCTGTACCTATCAACCTATCATCTAGGTTTTAAGTCCCGCATGCATTAGGTATTTGTCCTAATGCTCTCCCTCCCCTTGCTCCCCACCCCCTCAGACAGGCCTCAGTGTGTGATGTTCCCCTCCATAAGTCCATGTGTTCTCATTGTTCAACTCCCACTTATGAGTGAGTACATCTGGTGCTTGGTTTTCTGTTCCCGTGTTTGCTGAGGATGATGGTTTCCAGCTTCATCCATGTTCCTGCAAAGGACATGAACTCATGCTTTTTTATGGCTTCATAGTATTCCATGGCATATATATGCCACATTTTCTTTATCCAGTCTATCATTGATGGACATATGGGTTGGTTCCAAGTCTTTGCTATTGTAAATAGTGCTTCAATATACATACATGTGAATGTGTCTTTAAAATATAATGATTTGTAATCCTTTGGGTATATACTTAGTAATGGGATTGCTGGGTCAAATGGTATTTCTGGTTTTAGAAAACAGCATGGTACTCCAAAACAGATATATAGACCAATGGAACAGAACAGAGACCTCAGAAATAACACCACACATCTACAACCATCCAATCTTTCACAAACCTGACAAAAACAAGCAATGGGGAAAGGATTCCCTATTTAATAAATGGTGCTGGTAAAACTGACTAGCCATATGCAGAAAACAGAAACCAGACCCCTTCCTTACACCTTATACAAAAATTAACTCAAGATGGGTTAAAGACTTAAATATAAAACCTAAAATCATAAAAATCCTAGACGAAAACCTGGGCAGTACCATTCAGGACATAGGCATGAGCAAGGACTTCATGACTAAAACACCAAAAACAATTGCAACAAAAGCCTAAATTGACAAATGGGATCTAATTAAACTAAAGAGCTTCTGCACAGCAAAAGAAACTGTCACCAGAGTGAACAAGCAACCTACAGAATGGGAGAAACTTTTGCAATCCATCCATCTGACAAGGTCTAATATTCAGAATCTACAAGGAGCTTAAACAAATTTACAAGATAAAACAATCAACCCCATCGAAAAGTGGGCAAAGGATATGAACAGACACTTCTCAAAAGAAGACATTTATTCAGCCAACAAACATAAAAAAAAAACATGAAAAAAAGCTCATCATCACTGGTCGTTAGAGAAATGAAAACAAAAACCACAATGAGATACCATCTCACGTCAGTCAGAATGGTGATTACTAAAATGTCAGGAAACAACAGATGCTGGTGAGGCTGTGGAGAAATAGGAAAGTTTTTTACACTGTTGGTGGGAGTGTAAATTAGTACACTTAAGAGTTTTTTTTAAACAAAAGAATCATGGGTCTTTATTTTTGTTTTAATTGACCTTATGAATTATTATATATAAATGTGTATCAATTTTGAAAACATAAAACATTATTTTAAAACAAACTGAAAATAATTATAGTGATCATAAACAGACTATTAACTTAAAAAATAGTTTCCACAGCAAGCCAGATTGGTCTTAATATGGACTCTTCCCCAAACTAATGAATCGTATCACCAAACTTTCTTGGGAAAGACACGGACCAAGCATGCCTGCATCAAGTAACACATTTCTGTGTGTGTGAGACAGGGTTTCACTCTGTCACCCAGGCTAGAGTGCAGTGGCATGATCACGCCTCACTGCAGCCTCGAAGCCCCAGGCTCAATCAATTCTCCTGCCTCAGCCTCCCAAGTAGCTAGGACTACAGGTGCACACCACAGCACTGGCTTTTATTTTTATTTTTAAATTGTTTGTATAGATGTGGGTCTCGCTTTGTTGCTGAGGTTGATCTCGAAATTCTGGTCTAAAGCGATCTTCGTGCCTCGGCCTCCTGAGTAGGTAGGACTACATACATAAAACACCATGACTGAACAAATACATTTTTAAACAAGCAAAGGCATTTATTACTTTTATTTTAAAAGTAAAAACAACTGGTTAGAACCAAATGCTTCACTTTTTCTAAGATGTTGCCTCCTAATTGATACAGATTATAAATATAAAATTGTAGGCAATAGGTTGTTCTCTTAACAGAGATAAGTCCGTGATGGTCAACAAAAAGTTTCATTAGCATCATTTCTGATGTCTGGTTTTAAGGAAAATGAGAAGGAAATGATGGCAGTAAACAAAAGGAATGGTTAGTGGAAAATAGTTTTAGCAGCTTCACAGTTATGGAAAAATATGATCAACAGATGAGTACATGCATCTCAAACAAACTAAACCTAGTGCTAAATTTTATCTAAATTTTGCACTTTGACTTAATATCATTTATTTTGTTTTCTACCAAAAGCAGGTATTGATTGTGAAGTAGAATTTTCCTGTGGTATCCATCTCAAAAAAGGGAATGAGTAAGAAAGCACAGAATGTCTCAGACAATACATTCAATGGCTTAAAATGCTTATGTGTGTATGCATTTGCTTATTGTTATTATTTATTTTTGAACACTTATGTGGAGCTTAGTATATGCCAGAAACTTGCAAGAGTATAAAACAGATATTAATTTAAATATCACCACAACCCTTGAAGCAGGTATTTTTGTTATTCTTGGGTAACAGAAAACATTGAGTAACAGAAAGATGAAATAACCTGTATAACCAAGGTCATACAGTTAATAAGTGGCAGAGCAGGGCTATGGATCCAGGTGGTATTATAGTTGTCCTGATCCACGTAAAATAAGAAAGAGAAGGAAGATATTAGTAGGGGATTCTTTTTACTTCTTAAAAGCAGCTTAGTTTGTTTCACACTTTAGTGATGAAACACTAGCTAGTCAGGTGATGATGAGTGACTGATCCAGGCGAACTTCGGCAAGTTTCTTAATTTCTGAGGCTCAGTTTTGGCACAGGAAAATGGCAATAATAATACCTATTTCATAGTATTGTTGGAAGGATTAAATAAGGTTAGATCTTAGGATGGTGCTAGCATGCAGGAGGCATGCAATGAGGAGTAGATACCATTAACACCATTTATTATATTGTAGTTATGTATAACACGTCACATTATTATAGATGTTAGGGTGTTGTATGTTTGCATTCTAGTAGTAACTGGTGTAATTTTATTAAATAGCTATATTAATCCCTGCCACCTTAACTGTAAATTAGCCAAATCTATTGTCTTATTTATTCTAATATTTGTAATATCTAGCACAAGACAAACCACATGGGTTGCAAATGAAATAAAATCTAGGTGTTTGTAAGACTTTGTTCAAAGCTGAAGATACGGAGTAAATAATCTTCAGTTTTCCATTCTTTGACTTCTTAAAAAATCAAACTATTGAAAAATAGTGATTATTTATTATTTCTTTACTCTTAATATAAACTAATATTAATATAAATAATCATTATCATCTCCCATATATTGAGTGCTTACTATGTTTCAGGCACTATGCAAATCCTCTTATGAATAATATATTATTTAATAATTTCTATGATGCTCTTGAACAACCCTATGAGGTAAGTGTCATTATCTCCTGGCTGCAGAAGGCTAAACTGAAGCTTAAAAGAGCTAAGCCAACAAGCAACTTTCTCTAACCACACAGATAATAGGTGGTAGAATGAGGATATGAACGGAGGTCTTTCTGACATTAAAGTCCCCGCATCACTAATCACTATAATTCCAACAACAACTTTTAAAAATAAAACAACATTAGAAATATATTTTACATTTCATGAAATACAAAAATTAAAAGCCATGACACTGCTTTTATAAAGCCAAAGGGCAAGCCTGTTTTAATAAAGGCATACAATGTAATTTATGCATTTGCAACTTTCTACCTGAATAAATTGAAGAGGCATATGGAGGGTAGAGGTTTGAAGACCTGCAGAACAAGTGTTAGAAAATAACAAATACATCCTAGGTAGGAGACTACAACACACATAAGGAATAAAAACCCAGTCATATCCTTTATAGAAAAATCTAATGAAAAGTACTCATGTTAAAAAACAAAATCAGGGCCGGATGTGGTAGGCCACGCCTATAATCCCAGCACTTTGGGAGGCTGAGGCAGGTGGATCACCTGAGGTCAGGAATTTGAGACCAGCCTGGCCAATATGGTGAAAACCCATCTCTACTAAAAACACAAAAATTAGCTGGGCATGGTGGCACGTGCCTGTAATCCCAGCCACTTGGGAGGCTGAGGCAGGAGAATGGCTTTTGAACGTGGGAGGTGGAGGTT